CACTTGTTCCTTGAGTAGACAGATGGCAGATATCGTCAACATGGCACATTTGGTTCGACAGTTTTAATATGGAAGTAAGTGGGTACAAACAAACAAAGAAACATATGGGTATACTGGTAGAAAAAACGGTCCCTTTTGTGGGAAAATACAATCATTTAATATTGAGAAGAACATATCATTTTTGTGTAGTTTTTACAAATATTTCTAAGATGCAGAAATAATCTCATTGGTTATTAAATCATCAATAGGCGGGGCCAAAGAACCTGCTGGGACATTACTGCCAACTTGGTGCCATATTTTTGCTACTTTTTACTTCTACTAACAACAAACTTACTGATCATGGGAAAATTGGCCCTCAGTGTATTTGGTTGAAGCCTCAGCTCTTCTGGAAATCTGGTTCCCTAAAACAGCCTCTGCCATTTGAGATTTAACCAAACCTATGAGAATATTTGAGCCCAAAGAGCAGCTCTGCCTCCAAGAAATATCTGTAGATAATTACTAATCAGATATGTTGACAACGTATTATATTAAAAATGACATTTCTATAAAGTGTGAAAAGAGAGCTGACAGGAGAAATATATTGAATATTTAATCCATTATCCCTTCTGTAGGAGGACAAGTACGGGAAGAGAGGAAGGAGGGAAAATGAGGGTGTGGAGCAAAGGTTTGATTCTGCTGAATGCGGGGATTACCACCACATATTCCATCATCTTTTCCTTCACCTCCTCTCTCCCTTCTTCTCAGCTGTCGTGTGACTCAGAGGAGTAATCATGTTAAAAGCTTTTCCCTCTCTCTCACTCTCTCGGTTTTCTTCCCCACAAAGTGATGAAGCGTGTACAGAGTGCCGCGATCGGCCGTTAATTAATTTGGTTTAATTTTACAGTCTCCACAGATACAGAAGAGCAAAACAGCAACCTTAGACATAAATAAAAGCAGTGCGGAAAAAAGTTATCAGTTAAGTTGGACACTTGGGAGTTCATGCAAGGATAATTTCCTCTAAAGCCAACAGAAATATCACAGTTTATCTGAATAAGCCAAACCCAAAACTTATGTGAATAAAGTGTTTACAGTCATTTGTTAGTATAATGAATAGAGCTCCTAAAACGAGACCAAATGCCAGACCAGCATAAACAAATCAAACATCCCTTCAGATAAACAGTCGACCATAAGTTATCCAAGTATTTGCAAAAGGCTAGAATAGAATCTGTCAAAGACAAAAACAGCTACTACAGTAGTCAAAACAATTATTTCACTACTTTATTGAGAAATCTACTACAAATGGAGCAAAGCTTTACAATAAAAACACTGGTCCATATTTAGTAAAACCACCAGAGCAGATACCCGACCCCAGAACCTGAGAACTTAACAGAGAATGTATCACATTTGGTGTCAGGTTCAGGTCATTTTGTTGTTTAAGAACTTCTTGTTTGGTTCGGGTTGGATCCAGTTCGGTTAATTTCCGACATCATTTGTCAAGAAATTTCTCTTTTAGTAATCTGCACAAGTAGATACACAATGTCCAGTGAGAAGACAAAGTGTAGCTAATGCTTCACAAGCCAACATTCACTAATGTATGAAATAAGGTAAAAAACATACCTGTAGTTTTGGGGTCACGATTTGGGTCTCAGTTTTTGGGTAGAGCTCTACCTATAACGCAAAACTTTAATATTTTACCTTTAGCTCACCATAATAAAGTGGTGCTCAACTCAAAGCCCCAGAACATCACATTTGATGAATTATAAAGCAATACAAGTCTCCAATTTCAACAACCTGCTCACTGTAATCCACAGACCTCAATTAAGTTGAGAACTACTTTCTGCCAAATTACACCTGCCACATGTTTATCCCCAAGATATGCTCACAAGGAGCTCCGGTGGCTATTACTAGTAACTCATTTTTTGGAAAACTGTTGCTGTTGAGTGTTTCAGATGTCACCCTTTTGTTGCTTTGGGTGCAACAAACTAACAAACAAAATGATAACGATACCAGTATCTGTTCCCCTAATGGGATACTGTTAGCAATATAGTTCTTAATCAGTTGTGTCGAAGAACCATCCACCCAGAAGTTTTCTCCAGGCTTAATGAGGTGCTTTAACACGTTACTTGTTTTCAAAGGTATCGTTTACAGATATCCAGACCTACAACAAACCCTACTCTGATTGAGTTTCACGGACATGTGGTGAGCTTCTAATCACACTAAAACTTTGCCTTGCTGGAGCCTATTAATTGGCTATAAACTGTCCCTTTTTGAGTGTGGTGCAGCTTCATGAGAGAGTGAAAGAGGGTGAAAACGAGCAACAGCGAAAGAGGGGTAATGGTTGCAGATTTGGGCCAAAGAGTTATCTTGCATTTGTTTCAGGAGTGCCAGATGGGGGTTGGGTTTACAGCGTTGAGACATTTCAGGGGTACTTTGGAGTACGGCATGCTGCGCATCACAAAACTGATGTCCTCTGCTGGTAAACCCCACCCTCCTGCGCCTCCAAGCAAAGTAAAACAAACCCCCAAACATAATTTTAACCCCAAATTCAGGGGCTGTACAGGCAGCTTATAAAGACATAGAGATGATAATTAGAGAGAGACATAGAGAGAGAGAGAGACAGACAGAGTTATTGGAATTATTCTATTTTTGTTATTCCCCATTGAAAAAGACATATTTAAAGGAATATTCCGTGTATGTATTGAATAACCTCTGTTTCCCCCGCCCCATCCAGTGGTGTGATCTGTAGCTGCGAGGTGGCGTCACACACAAAACGCTTCCCTCAGCAGCTATGCAATGCCAATGTGATGAAATTATTATATCATTATAAATAAATTATTTTTCTTGCTTAAAAAAACAAAATGAATGTTTTGTTTGTTTGCTTTGTTGCTCGTGCCGCGTGCCCTGCTAGTCTTCAAGGTTACTTTCTGAATCTGTATTAATGAGTTTCCCCGGAGAGGCAACAACAGTTCTGTTAATTGGGTGTTTCTGTTTTTCACGGTGAAGCACGAGACGCCAACTAAAGACTCTTGATCCGAAGTTGATTTATTATTTACTTTTTTAGGCCATTTTGTCTCAACATTACTGTGGATGTTAATATAGCAGAAGGTGGTTTATGAGAAGGAAATGTCCCTACAACAGACCAGATTTCATATTTGTTTACATACAAAACCTTGAACACCCTTTTGGACACATTTGGACATGTGGAATCCTGTTGGTCCATCCATGTAATTTGAATCTCAAAATGGGGCTCAGACTTGTCTCAGACCATTGGTCTCACCCAAGTCCAGCAATATATGTTTTTTCTATAGTTTTATGAATTCCTCCTTCAAAACAAAACATTAATGAAGCCCACTTGTTCAGAAAATGGGTATTGGTTCAAAATCCATCAAGAACAGGCACCGACCATAGTAACCAGCCTGGTAACTATGTTGCTTACAATCATATTCCTGCCTGCCAAAACTCATCTCATCGGCAATGCCAAAAGCATTGTTTTGTTTCTGTCCCAATCTTGACTCGGACTCGACAAAGGTGGACCTGACTGAGACTCCAGATTAACCTGTTATGGGACAAGAGAGCAAGTTGCCCCCTCTAATGAGACCAGTATGCAGCTTATACAAGTGTGATGTAGAAATTTGAAGCCACCAGTGCACAGACACTGAGAATGGACACTGAAGTAGGAGACATCTTGTGTCCAGCAGGAAAACTTGAGGTTGCATTATATCAAGAATGTTAGAAAAAACACACACTTCATTTAAGGGTTAATAAAACACAAGAGTGAATTTAACTTATTATATTCTTCTTATATTGATTGTTTGAATAAAGTGAAACCACATTATTAAATGCAAATACTCGAATTCCTATAAAAGAGCTTTTTACAACCATTTACAAACTGCAACAGATTATTAATCGATAAATATCAAAGATTGATAATGTAAAAACCATCTTTGGACAATATGTGGGTGAAATTCTCCTTTAATCTGTGAATCCACATCAGTGCTGCACATGTTTTTTATTATTTAG